GGGATTGGGGTCCGGTTCTCTGCTTCGGTAGTTGCACAACCTCCTCACATCAGTCCTCATCTCTGTGCCTCAGTTTCCTCCTTATGAAAGGAGAATTCTGAGTGCACCTGTGTCCGCGGCTCCCATGGCGTCTCACAGAGCTTAGCCCATTGTAAGCACTCGATGCGTCTTACGGTTTGAGTTAAAATTATGGTTCCTCCAGGCCTCAACTTCCCCATCAGATTTTGCTCATGGTCTCTTTTCTGGCAGTCTTACGAGACTTCCCTCACTTATTCCTCCAGACCCTTTATGAAGTTTTTTATTTTGGCAATAGTTTTTAATTTCCAGGAACTTCTTACCATTTCTCCATTTTTTTCCCCAGAGTAGCTTGCTGTGTTGTTTTATGGCCGCAATATCTGTGTGAGAATATGAATTCAATCTTTCAAAGTTCTCTTCCTGGAATTGGCTGTTTCCTTTGGGAAGAGCTGCTTTGTGGGGTCTGTGGGGTCATTCTGGTCCCCTCTGTGCTATCAGTTTCTCTCAGTGTCTGGGCACCTTTTCCTGTCCTTTAGATTTGTCAAAAACAGAGCAAGCTGGTGAGCAGAGGAGGCTCTGAGGGCTTCAGCCATGTTTTGGTGTGTGTTGGGGTCTTGGTTTCCCCTGTGGGGCTGGGCTGGCTGCGATTTTTGCACCTGGAGATGTGTCCCGTCAACCAGCAGACTTGACATCCACCTGTACAGATGGGAACAGACAGACAGGACTGCCACCTCCCAAATATAAGCTCTGCTAATACCTACAGCTGAAGGTTTGCCGTTCCTACATGTTTCTTCCTTCTTCCTCAGGAATAAAAGTTTTAATCTTAGACTAATGAAGCTACAGTCAGGAGAGAGTACGAGGAGAAAGGCTGGGTGGGCTGAAGCCTGGTTTTAGACACAGTTTTCGAAACCCTCTTTTTATGAAATAATTTTAATTTATCAAAGGACTTCAAAGATTGCATTACAAAGTTCCTCAAGGCCCTTCACTCACTCCTCCCTAGTGGAAACGTCCTACATAACCATGGCATGTTTGCCAGAGCTAAGAAATCAGTGTTGGTGCATTATTAGCTAGAGTGGACAGGTGATGTGGACTTCAGTAGCATTCTCGCTACTGCCCTTTCTCTGGGCTATGATCTAACCCCGAAGACCTCGTTTCATGTGGTTCTCACATTTCCTCAGTCTCTTGTGATCTGTAACAATTTCTCAGTTCTTCCGTATCTTCGTGACCTCGATGCTCAGGTGAATGATGATCAGTGTTACAGCGTGTGTCTAGATGTCCCCGCAAGCCTCATGTAGTTGCAAGGTGGGGCTGAACCTAGAGTGTGTGATGCTGGGTTTAAGGGTGTGTGATTACTAAACCAGTACATGTGAGTGGTTGGTTTGGCACCACCCTAATCCGGGGAGTCTGGATGGGATAAAGAGGCAGAAAGACACCGTTAAGTCTCTTGTTGCTTTTGCTGCCTTCCTCCACCATGAACTGTTGCCCCTCTGCCACCCTGCCTTGGAGCCCGCTGATTGTGGACTGAAAACTCTACACATAAACCTTTCCTCCTTTAATTTGGAGTGTAGGGTATTTTGTCTCAGCAATGAGAGAAAAGTAACTAACACAGTCAGGTATTTTGTGGAGTGCTCCTCAACTGAGGCTTTCTTACGTCTTATGACACTAGATGAGGGATGCGGATGCTTGGGCAGTGGACTGCAGGGATGAAGTATCCTTCCCAGCATGTCTCATCAGGAGTCCCTGACAGCTCCCCAAACCCAGGGCCCACCCTGCAGTGGTGTGGGTGGGCTGGCCTGGGTCAACATCCCAGCAGCACCGAGTCCGCAGTTCTCTCAGAGGTACAAAGTGTAATGCACTGTGCACCATCATTTTCTTTTGTGACCTCAGGGTGTGAGTGTGGGGAAGTCACATGGAGGAAATCATCTAGAAGGCGAGTGACTAAGTTGAAGAAGGCAAGTGACTGAGCCTCTTGGATTTTGATCTTTCAGATATAGCAGGGCTCTCCCACAGCTTAGCAATGAATATAAAAAGAGAATGCTTGTCCATTTTCCTCTGCCAGGACCATCGGAGATCAACACTTACCTGTAGCAGACACCTCTGCCCAGTATTAGCAGGCTATAGTAGCACAGGCTTCCTGCCCCTCCATAATTTGACTGTGTCACATTGGAAGTAGCAGAAGTTGGCTGAGTTCACCCCCAGGCAAGGTCAACTGACTCCAGCTAAATTCTTCCCCTCTGAATTAACCCTTTGTCCTTTTCAGCAAAGATAGGCTTGTGCCTTCATTCTTTAGCCTTGATACTTGTTATCAGCAGATGTCCCGAAGCCTGCCCAGCTTCCCCTCTTCCCATACTTGTAATGAATAAACACTGGATGTCCTGGGAGTCCCTTGTCTTTGCTGCCCAAGGCAGCTTAGATCAGCCCAAGACTCAGTTTCTCTCAAGACTCTGTCTCTTTCTCTTAATTCCCACTTTCCTATCTCTCCAATGTTGTACTGGCTTACAGGAGGCCAGGACCACTGCAGGGATCTCTGGTAATGTCCCCTGACCCTTTCCCTATACTTACCCATTTCTTCCACAATGAGGAACAAGTTCCTTTTAAGATGGGTCAGAACCAGAGCCACCAGTGGGGTCTGTTTCTAAGGGACTGGGCTTGGTACCCGGCACCCTTGAATTTGCTCATGCCAAGTTCAGATTTTGGGAGGACTGGAGGCTCAGACCCTGTGCTTCTGGTTTCAACTTGACCTCCCAGCTGGGCTCTGGGTGAGGAGTCTCAGTATTGACACTGCCATTCATATTCCCACTTTGCTCCTGCTTCCTGCATGTGTGTGTTAGAATTCTCTGGAGGAAGAGGATCAAGAGAAAATATATGCATAATCATGAAAGAGGATTTATTGGGTAGGCTTAAAGGATCAGAGGTAGAAGCAACTGTAATGGCCATCTGTGGGATCAGGTGCGGGAGAAGCCAGCAGCAACTCAGCTAAATGGAAGCTGCAGAACATGAGGGATCAAGGATGCAGCACAAGTCCAAGATCAAAAGCCCTGAAGCTCTCTAGAGAGTTACTGCTGAAAATCTCTGTTGGAAGGCTGAAGAAACTTCAGACATGAAGCCTGATGTCTAAAGTGGAGACTTTTGGATGGCTGTCCAAAGGCAATGACAGCAAAGGACAGGCCTATTTAGGAAGACTGGAGCTCTTTGAAATGGGCACACTTCCTTTTCTTCCCCTTTTTGTTCTATTCCACCTACAAGCCTATTGGTTAGTGCCACCCACATTGGGCGCAGGTCTCCCCTCCCAGTTTGCTGGTTTACATGTCCACCATCCACAGACACACCCAGAACTGCACCCACGAATCCTCTCGGCATTTCCTAATCCATTCAAGTTGACATGGCGTGACTGATGGTCATAGTGAGCTTCCTTGAGAACTCAGAATGATGGTGAGGGATGGGGTCTGAGGAAGATGAGGAAACAGATGGCAAGAGTGGATCCAGGCTTTTCTTGCCTTAACTAGAACTTTAGTAGAGATCTACCCAATCTTAAGCATAATTGGCAGGAGTTGGTCAAAGAGATGACTTAGTCTGTTCATGCTGTTGTAACAAAATACCAGAATGGGTGGGATATAAACAGCAGAAATTTATTTTTCACTGTTCTGGAGGCGAAAACCACGATCCAGGCTGATTGTATCTGGTGAGGGCCCACTTCCTCCATCACACACAGTGCCTTCTCCCTGCATCTTCTTATGGTGGAAGCTGGATTGAGCTCTCTTCAGCCATTTTACAGGTGCACCAATCCCATTTCTGAAGTCCAACCTCTTGACCTAATCCCCTCCCGAGGCCCCACTTCCCAAGTCCACCTTGGTGAGGGGTAGGATCTCAGAGGATGAATTTTGGAGGAATACACACACTTGTACCATAGCAATGTGTGGAATGAATTCCCACTGAGCAAATGCTGTTGAACTGACCACTGAGGTGTGTACAGAAAGAGTCCTAGCATTAGGATAATCACAGATGACAGTTTTGTTGCAAAGGTCTTAGGCCTAACTCTCCCCGTTCTCTGCAGAGTGGAAATAATTAGAGGTGCAGGAAAGGTGGGGGACATAGAGTTCAGAGACCCTTGGAGGAGATCAGTAAATCTGCATGTCTGCATGTCCTGAATAGAGCAGCTACTTGCTGGGTGGACTGAGGTGTCAAACTGACAGGTGTCTGCTAAATGTGGCCCTGGGAGGGGGCAAGGTAGGAGTTTTTGCAACTTCCACGTCCAATGACAACCTCCCTTCCGGCTGCTCTGTGTCGGGCCACCTGAGCCAGCCCCTCTGATGGAGCCCACAGCCTTCAGGAGGGAGGGGACTGCATGTGGCCAGCACAAAACTGTGTGACGAGGACAGTGGGAATAAAACTGTACAGAGCAGAATCACTCTACAGAGCCTGGCCAGGAAGACCTGTGGAAACAAGGAGGGAGGAGACAGGAAGAGGTTGACTTTTCATAACACCCACCTGTCAATGGTGGTTGACAAGGGCCCCACAATTTGGGAAAAGCCCAGCAGTCAGCTAACCAGGCAGAATGGGCCATGGGTTTCCCTGCACCTGGAAACCCCACAACTAGATTGTGAAAGCTCTAAGACCCATGGACTTTTGGAGGCCAGAAGGTGACTGTACACATCCCCTCTGCCCCCAAGAACAGATGAGTATTTTCTAGATCAAGGGTCCACTAACCCCTTCCCTAAAGGGGCAGATGGGAAATATTTTCAGCATCATGTGCCACAGGGTCTCTGGTGCAGCTCTGCAACACTGCAGTTGCAGTGAGAGGTAGAGAAACCACAGGTGTGGTCCGCTTGGCTGAGAGCAGGTGTGCTAGAGCCTAGGTCTGTACTACCCTCAGTGCAGTCCCTGGCCCAGCCCAATCAGCACACCTGGGTGTCACAGACAGATGCAGGGTCTCAGGCCCCCACCTCCCACCCAGCCTTAATTAAGAACAAAGCTGTAGGGAGGAATGTCTGAGAAATAGTTTATTTTCAACAAAGAACGCCACATGGACAGAGCTAGGACACCTGGTGCCGCCAGGGCTGCTTCTGGCTCCTGCCCCCACTCACCAGCACAGCCAAGCACAGAATCTGAACTCTTCCAGGTCACAGTGAAGAGACCGCTGTTATTTGCTCGAGGGGGCAGGACAGTGCCCATGGGGACAGGAGACCAAACTTGTTGCAGGACACAGACGGATGTGGTCAACACAACCCAGAAATAGCCTCATTGTGAAGGGGAAATGGTGACTGCCTTTTAAAACTGCATCATACATTAAAACGTCTCTTAAGAAATATGAGAGGACACAGCCTCAAGGATTGATCTGTCATGTTAAAAAGTAGAAAGTGGAGACTGGATGAAAAAGTAAAATCACAGTAACTCAGCAGGGGTGTGCAGACATCAGTGGCTGCAGGAAGAAAGACAAAAGGAATTGGAAACAAGAGTGAGGCTTGTTTACCAGAAAACTGCCACACCTGGTCTGTGAAATACAGTGACTCCAAACAGTGATGAAGAGGAAGACCATGAAGATCCTGATGGCAAATGCCTGCAAATCGAGGAGTCATTTACTTTTTGAGTGTGCTACATACAGGAAGATCTTATGGAACCACATTTTATTTTAGTTTTTTTCTTTTTTTGTGATAGAGTCTTGTCAAGTGGTTTAGGCTGTCCTGAACTCAAAATCCTCCTACCTCAGCCTCCCAAGTGCTGGGATTACAGGTGTGTGCCTCCATGCCCAGGCCCCATTTTTATACTGATTTTAAAATGAGTTACTGGTCTCCTATGTGATCATGTGACATTTGCATGATCACGTGACTTGCCTAAGATCTTCCAGCAGGTCAGCAGCAGGACTGGATTCTGCTCATGAGTCTGATTGCAAAGCCCTGCTTTACCTTTTCAGCCTCAGTGTCTTTCAGTTCAAGGGCGAGTTGTCCCTGACCTTATCATAAAGTAGCTGGCCTTTGACTAAAGCCACTTTCCTTCCAGAACAGACTTTCTAAACACCCATGCTTCCTAAGTTACTAAAAGGAAGCTGTTCCCATCATTGCTCATCAGATAGTCTGGTTCTCTTGCAGGCTGTCTAGATGACTGGCATTCTGGGAAGGGGGTCCTGCTGCAGGGCTGAGCTTTGGGGGAGCTCAGAGGACACTGTGGGAGTAACCGCAGACCAGTGAGGCAATTCTCATCTGAAAGGGCACTAGTGTGGCATCCCAGACCCGGGGGGGGCACAGGGGTGGGGGACTGCTGACACTCATAGGTGGGGCATCCTTGTGGATCCAGGGAAGACCACACCTGGGAGTCCGGCTGCTCTACGTGCTGCACTCTCTGCAATTGCCTGAGAGTCTGTGCCAGCAAAGAATACAAATGAAGTCACACCAGGGCTGCTCCAGGATTTGGGAGCAGTGTTTGTGGGAGGGCAGACATGTGAATAATTAAGATGCCCTTGGGGCTGTAGATTTCCAAAGTACCATCTAGCAAGCTAGGGCCAAACTTCGAAGTGCAGATGGGCTCATTGTGTTGGGGGACGGGAGTGCATTCATTATTAGGATTCTATTTTGCAAGTACAAACAATTTTATAAATGCCCGAGAGTTTGCATATCTTCTATCCAACTAGATTCTCACAATAATCTTGTAACTGGAGGTGGGGAAGAGAGCTGTTTAAGCTCCTTGGCAGATGCAGAAAACTGAGGCACAGATAGGATGTGACTTGTCCGCGGTCACAGAGCAAATCAGCTGGGACCTGAACCCAGGCTTCCCAGCTCCAAGTCCAGGGCTCTTTCTGCATCTGAGGTTTTTAGGGGGAGATGGGGACCATCATAGCACAGAGGAGGGTTCTGGGTGGGCAGGGCAGAGAGGCCTGCTATCTCCTGGGAAGCTGCATGTGGAGGCTTAGCTGTTGCAGCCCTGGGGGCAGGTGTGGGCCAGGATGTTGTTGTTGCAGCCATCTTGGAGCTTGCTCTGGGCCTGGCTCCCAGCTCGGTCTTCAGGGTCCAGGAACTGCCCACTGTGTCCCTGCTGCCTCCTGAGCCTGCAAACAAGTACAGGACAGATGTGGGTCAGTGGTGCTTTGTGCTGCAGAGCTAGAGTATGGCCATATGCTCAGAGACACACTTGTGCAGCAGAACATCAGAAACTACATCAGTCAGCTTCCTGTTCCTGTGACAAAATACCCGAGTGTAGAAACTGAAAGGAGGAGATGCTCCTCCTTTATTTTGGCTCATTGTTTCCCAGGCTTCAGTCTGTGGTCGGCTGGCTCCTGGATCTATGCTGAGGTACTATTTTATGATGGGAGGAAAGCTGTTCATCCTATGGCTGACCTTGTGAAGAGGAGCCTGAGAGGAAGGGTCTGGGGAAAAGACATAGCCCCCAAGTTCACAGCCTCATAACCTACTCCCTCCCATTAGGCCCCACCTCCACAATTTCCATCACCTCCCAGTTGCGTCTCCATTAGTGGGCGAATCCTCCAATGAGTGCAGTGTTGTCATGATCCAGTCACCTTCCAAAAGCCTCACCTCTGAACATGGGAGATTTTGGCGGGGGACATTTTAGGTCCAAACCATAACAGAAGTCTTCAGCTAGAGCCTTCCCTTGCCTTGGAAGCACATCACAACCATGGGGTTTGGGGTGGTGGGCTCTGGTGCACTTGGTGGATTAATACCCAGAGCCCCAATTTCTCCAACTGTGAAATGGAGATGGTTGCTCCTACCTCACAGGTCCTGATGAAGTTTATGGGAGGTCAGACATGCAATTTGCCCAAGTTCATGGTTTGCAAAGAGAGCTGATGAGCACTGTGCATCATTCACTCACTGTGTCCTTACTGAGTGCTCACTGCTGTCACAGCCTCCAGCTGGGAGCAGGATACTCTGGCCACAAAACGGCCATGCTTCTGTCCTCACAGAGCTCACTGTCCAAAGGGCAGAGGGCACTGATCAGAGAATCCCACCAACAAATATCTCAACAGTCAGATGCAAAATGCCCACTGCAAACAGGGCCGAGGGAGTATGATTGTGAACACTGTGTTTCCTACAAGCCAGACTTATGGTCACATTCTGCATGTTGGAAGAGTTTAGATTCATTACATGTACCACAGCTGTCACCACATGTGCAGGGTGCAGGCAGGAGAAGGAACTGAGACATCTAAAGGGGCAAGGAAGAGCTTCTGCAGGGAAGAATTCTGCCTAATCCCTGGCTCCCAACATTTCCTGCTTGGGTCACATGAGTCAAGTTGCTCAGCTTTTCCTGCCTCAGTTTCTTTATTAAAAGATAGAGATTCTACTGCTCACTTTGCAGGAGGCTGGGGGATAAAAGAGGATGTATGTAGAATATCAAGTCCAGGGCTGAGATGAATCATATTTACTGCTGGTTCTACTGTGTTCTGAAAGACAGGCTTCAGCGGGACTGACCTTATCTTACAGGTTGAGATCTATAATGTCCCCCTAATCTCATGTGTGTCAAAGGGGATTAGATCATGGGGAGCTAGATCCTGTGTGGATCTGGGAAGTTTCTGCAAGAGGCACCCTTGAGCTGGGCTACAAGCATAGGGTAGGCGTCCACTGTTGGACAGTGTGCAGTGTGGGTTGGTAGGGGAGGGAGGGAGAAGTTTGACATGAAAGGACATGAGTGGGGAAGGCTCACGAAGTACAAAACACTTCAGTAATGAGTTGATCTTCTCTGGAGCTGACTGCTTCTGCCCCCTCACTTATTCTTTGGGCCAGAGCTACTTGGAGAAGCAGCATCAGCTGTCTCAAGCCCTCCCTGCTCTGAAACACTCCTCTGAGCACTGTCACATGAGCATGGAGGCCTCATGCAGGGAGTGAAGGAGATGCAGGTTATGTCCCTTGCAACTCACCACCAGTTGCAGTGTCTGAGCAAGGAGACAGTCAAGAAGGAAGTGCCCTTCTGTGGGTATCCACCATCTACCCACAGACCTACAAAACTGGGGGGCCAATCTGTTTCTGGGAGCCTCTAAAGCCCATTTCCCCCACTATATCCACACTCTCCACCTCCCACCCAACCACGTACCATCTATTCATCACATAAAGGGTGATCAAAATATACAGTGAATGTTTAAAATTTTAAAAATGTATCACAGGGCTGGGGATTTAGCTCAGTGGTTCTGTTGCTTGCTTTGCAAGCACAAAGTCCCGAGTTCCAGCTCTGGTACCATAAAAAAAAAAAGGTAAAAAAATGTATCACAGGAGGACTGCCCAGCTGCATGGGGAGCTCGCTGCTCCCCCACCCTCCAGTGCCCTGGGCCTTCATTGGAGCAGACCTGTGAGGACTGCCCAGCTGCACAGGTGCCTCTGCAGCATCCCCTGTCCCTCTGTGCTCTCGGGAATCTGGGTTGTTCCAGTACCTGGATCCACACTGCAGAGACATAGATGGTCATAAAGGCCGTTTCACTGAGCTCCAGAAGATAGAATGCCATAAAGGCACATCAGACCTCTGTAGTAGGTAAGTTGGAGGAATCACCACCTCCCATTAGAACAGTGGCTATCTTCAGGGGAAGGGCACTGGAACCTGCAGTGGAACCTTGCAGAGTTCAACTCTACAGGAGGTCAGAGGAGCTCAACTTGGGCCTGGCAGCCAGAGTTCAGCCAGAATCTCAGGGGTCTGCCATTGGCCAGCTGAGACTAGCTGACTTAGTTCTGCACATCGCTGCCCACATTGTCTACTGTGACAGCAGAGATATATCCTGAAAGAGGCTCTTCAAATTTTTTTTCTCTTAATTTTAATTTTTAAAATTTTATTTTTTCCCATTCTTCAAATTCTTCCTGTTTTCTTTCTTCTTTTTCCCACTCAGTCTCTTGCTCCCCCACATTAATCTTCATCTCCCTTTTTGTTCAGTTTCTGCCCTAATTTGGATTTCTTCTTTTTCTTTTCTTCTCTCTTTTTCCTTTGCTCTATTGTCATTAGTTTCAAAGGAAAGTGAGTACAATTTATAGCTTCCCTTTTTCTGCTAAGTTCTTCTATTCTTGTCTTTGCTCTTGCACTCTGTCTTTCCCTCTTGTCTTCAACAGTCTCCTAGAGTTTGCGTGATCATCCTGTGTCCTCTGGCTTCACTTGAAACCTTCTCCTATTCTTTTACCTATCTATTCCTCTCCTCTCAACTCCTTCTTATCTGATGGGTAAAGTTGCTATACTGAAGAGTATATTCACTATAAGTACATTTTGGGATGGTCCTTATTTTTTACTTAATTCACATGGTTAAAGGTGATAGATTAATAACTACCTCAAATTGTCACTTTCTAAGCTGTGCTTGATACTGTTGTGTTGCTGATTATATCAATTAGACTAAAGGGTTGTGATTGATTTAATGAGTTGTCCTTCCTGATATTATGAAAATGAGAGTGTCTCTGAGTTATTAGAGATTCAAAACCTAAAGAGCAGCTATATCAGGAAGATCAAAGTACTATCCCA